CAATGAAACCAATAGGAAAGCGTGACTCCACAAAGCGTGACTCTCTCTCTGCACTCACACTGATGACGCAAGCAAGGCACGCTGGGCTGAATGAACGCCATTCGGCTCAACTCGGCTCATCTCGGAAGTTTGAGTTCCAAATATTTGTTTGGATTCCAAGACAAAAGTTTCTCGAATCTCCTGGTCGAATACCGATTTGGTCGAAAACCGAGGCGTTCGAGAACCGAGGTATCACTGTATTTAGTTGGTTAGTTAATCCTCACGAGAATATTTTTTCCATTGATTTTTTAGAGTGGAAGGGAGGGAGGGAGGGAGGGGGAGAGAGAGAGAAAGAGAGAGAGAGAGAGAAATCGTGATGTGAGACACATCGATTGGTTGACACCCACCCAACCCTGACCCGGGCTGGGGATCAAACCTGCAACCTGGCCAGGACTGTAATAAGAACATTTAAACAGTAGGTGCTACTACACATGCTTTACCTGTAAGGTGTTATTTTGTTGTTGTTGTTAATCCTCACCCAAGAATATTTTCCACTGATTTTTAGATAGAATTGGAGGGAGGGAGAGAGAAACACTGATTGAGACACATCGATTGGTTGCCTCCCACCTGCAACCCAGGTAAGTGCCCTTGACCAGAAATCGAACCTGAGACCCTTTAGTCCAAGGGCTGAGCCAAATCAGCCAGGGCTATAAGAGGTTTGTTAATCCTAGGAAATAGGAGCAGTTATTATTCCCATTCCATGTCAGAAGAAACTGAGGCACAGAGGAAACTGCCTTGTCCAAGGTCATGTAGCCAGTGAACGGTGGAGGTAGGATTCAAAGCCAGGCAGTCTGCTGCCAGGTTCACACAAACCTCTGGGGGCTCACAGAGTGGGGCTCAAATCCCTGCTGGGGGTTAATGCTGTTCTCAGTGCTAAATGAGAAAGCAATGACCAATGCCGGGCGTGGAGTACTTGACACTGAAAAAATGCTCTCCTGCATCCTTCCAACCCTAATATTACTCGGCTCCCTGCGTGGGGGCTGACCTGGAAGTCTGGACCTGTTCCCTCTCCAGAGGTGGCCAGGCTATGGCGGGGATTGGGGAGGGTGGGTGGATAAGAGAGAGGGAGGCTTTAATGGCCCCTCTAGGCCAAACTGCTACAGCTTCCTGAGATCAGGGGATTAGGGGAGGGAGAGGGTGGTTTGGGGAAGACCCTGAGTCTATTGGAGATGCTGGTCCAGGCTCTGGCCTGAGGCCCAACTGCCTGAGGCAGAAAGCCTGGGGACAGAAGCCAGGCAGGAGGAACACCTAGACAGCAGAGCTAGGAAGCAAGAGGGCCTCAACCACAGAACTAGGGCCAGGCCACCCTAAATCCTACCTCTCAGGCAGTACCATGGGCCAAGGTACTGGAAAGGCCCTCACAGACCCTCAGGTTTGAACCCCATCCCACCTCGCCTGGAGCAGAAACTCCCCCATGCTCTTAAGCACCACACAGCACTGCCTCTCACACACTCGCTTCCCCCTTCATGGGGATAGCACCACAAGCCCTATGGCTTCCCCAGACAGACTAAAGGAAACCAAAGTGGTTACCAAGGCTTAGTTCTCCCACTTGCCAGTACACCTTTAAATAAGAGCCAATAGTTATTAAGCACTTTTCATGTGCTGGACCAGGTCCTAGGCCCTTTTTATGCTGTAACTCACTCCCCCTCATGACCCTGAGGTAGGTGTTATCCTTGTTTTCTACATGAGTAAATTAAAGCTCAGAGAGGTTAAGTGACTTACCTAAGGTCACACAGCAGCTAAGTGGGATTCAAACCCAGGCAGGGTCCAGAGCCTGTGCTCTCAACTATGGTGCTCTGCCATCCCTCAAACCTTGGGCTGCTATAGACCTTCATCCAGGAAGATGGCACACTCCCTTCCAGGGCCCTGCCGAATGCCTGGTGCCTGCTGGCCTCTGGCCCCTGGCCCAGCTACTTGGCAATACCCACTGGTTTCATTAATGTTTAGAGAATGTCATTATTTTTGAGGGACTTCTGAATCTAGGCCTCTACCTCTCCTGCCTGACTCAAATTAGAGCAGCTTGGTCTCAAGTTCTAGAAAGTTAGAACAAAGAAGCAGCTTATAGCTTCCAATTCTTCTCTGACGCAGGGATAAACTGAGGCCCAGAGTAGTCCTCCCCCAAGAGTCCTCAGCAAGACCTGGGCCTAGGACCTCGGACTTCTGCTCCTGGGTAAATGAGAAGTTAAAACAGGTTTTTGGTGGCCAACCCTTGTAGCATAGGAAGGGGGCACAAGATGGGACAAAGCATAGAAACTGGACCAGGCTATGGATACCATGGTGGGAGGAATTCAGGCTCACTTCACCACAGCCTTAAGACCCCGAAGAGATGCTGCTCTGCGCATGTTCAAACTCCGCTATGTGAGAGGCAGGGGACACCGACATGTGCAAGACTCACAGGGAAGGTCCCCCGCAGAGCCAACTGCCTGCATGAGGGACAAGCAGATCATGTTAATGAGGGAACAGGCCAGGTGGGGTCTGGGGCAGGCTGGAGGGTCATGCTGTCTAAAGGTTGTCACTGTCACTCTGGTTCTTGCCTGGGCTCACCACATCATCTGCTTTTCCAATAGAATCCAAAAATCAATATTTGTGTATGAAACTATGTTTTTAGCATTGGCAACTCAAATGCAAATATGAAAAAACAAAACAAAAAAACACTGGATCATCAAAATGTGTCCAGAAGCTGTATTTTACAACATGTGTTGTATGTTATGCTGGGTTCTGGGATTAGACAAAGCTGCTGTGGGGAAGAAACAGATCTGCTCCCATCTCCTAGCTCATGGTCCAGGTGTGGAGACAAACTCTCACAGCACATGTAGACACATTCTACTGTTTCCAAGCCACCAACCTATCAACCAATTCAATGCAGCTCTCCACTCTGTGACAGCCCAGGTCAGACCAAAAGGGCAGGTAGAGGCAGAGAGCTGCTCCTGAGCCATCCAATAGTGGAGCTTCTCAGGTCGAGGGACAGACAGCACATGGTGGAGGGAGGGAGGGAGTTAGGAGACATGGAGATGAGCCAGAGGTGAAATAGAGGATGATGAGTGAGCAATGGGAAGACACTTGGGAGGCAGTTTAGGGCCATGCTGCAAAGGGCTTTGACTGTGGTTTAGTCCAGACTCAATAGGAAGCCACTACAAGTTAGTGAGAAGGGGAGATCCCTGTGCTTGTGTCCCTCTGGCCTTGAGGGTTTTCCCTAGTCACAGTGACTCAAACCTCTGCTCTTTCCCCTCTCACTCCACTCCCTTGCCTGTGGGTCATATGACAAGGCTCCAGGCTCCTAGGAACCCACTAAGGGAAATGAACTCCTTCAGACATGGAGGACACACCTGGATGCTTCTTGAAGCCCAAATGCGATCTACACCTGTCCCTCCAGCTACAGACTAAGTGGCTCACTCTCTGTCATTATCTCTGGGAGATGCCACACACTTGCCCAAGATCACGCAGTCTTCAGGGCAGCTGGCTCCCCCACAGCCTATGCTGAGGGGCATTGCCTCAACTGTCCTTGAATTTGCAGGAAGGGCTGCCAGAGATCAGAAGCACTTCTAACCCTTTCTCCTGCTGATCACATCCTCCCCCTTCCGTCAATGCCAGCAGCTTGTGGGGTGGAGGCACTTGGTACTGGAAAGGGAGAAGAGGAAAAGGCTCAGGGTCTCCAAGTATGCAGCAGGATGGGGATCAAGTGCTTCAGGTGTGGGGTCAGAGCTGGTCAGCCGGGCCTGACCAGGCCCACCTCCCAGGGAGTATGGCCGGGCAAACTGAGAAAAGCCCAGGGGTCTGATGAACAGGGAGGATCAGGAGAGGAGATAGGGATGAAGTGAGAAAGAGAACCTGGTACATCACAGACACTAGCTAAAGTTTGTTGAATGTACAGGTGAACAAAGAAACTCCTGGTGGGGCTACCTGTACCCAGAGTCCTGCCTTCTTCAGCATCAATACTTGCCTTTCGAGGGCTCAGAAAGAAGAGACTGATGGAAACCCCAGCAGCCCAGAGTGTTTCCTTGGCACCCTTCAGCCCCTTCTCATCCAGAATTTCAGGGTACACCATCCCCAGGCCTCTCATCTTCCCATGAGCTGCAGGGCCTGGGGTTCAGGACCTCACTGAGGGCAAGGCTGAGATACTTGCCTTGTGATAATCTAGAATGGTCCTTTGGTTGTCCAGGACATGCTGACCCATTCTGAGGTTTGGCCCTGGATGTTTTGGAGGTCAGGAGGAAAAGGGAAGGCCTTGGGTTTGCTGCCCCTGGGGACCAGGGGACAGAAAAGTGCCTGACCTGAAATGGTTTCTTTATCCACCTCCCCTCCCCAGAAACCAGTGCCTCACTTTGGAAAGGGCATGCCCCTCCCCGTCCTGAAGGGAGCAGAGTGGCCTGGGTGAAGATCCCCACTGTGGTCTGGGTGGGGAGCAGTGGAGTCACAGAGAAAATAAGGGATTCCCACCCATTCTCTCAAACACACCCACTGCCAGCCCTCTCACAGACAAAGACACACACCCAAAGCCCCAGCCATCACCTTAGGCCACACACTGCGGGTCCCCTCCCCTGTGGACGCCTCCAAATCTTCTCCCAGGAGGGACTTCACTTGAGAACTCAGCCTGGCCACGGGGTTGGGGGGAGGGGCACATATACTGCAAAGATCGAGGATCCAACAGCTCCAGGATAGCAGTTTTGGGGTGGGGGGAGAAATCTACCCTCTTCTCCCCTCTCCCTGGCACAAAGCTCTCTGCCTTCACTCTCCCGAGAGGTTGGGGAGCTCGGCCCCGAACCCCAAGGCTAGGGCATGGGGTGGGGGAAGGGAAGAGGGGGCGGCTCCTCCAAGCGAGACACAAAGAGACGTCCTTCAGACTCGGCTCCATGGCTACGGTGGGGAGGGGGCAGTGCGCACCCGGTACTTCCATCCCCACCTGCAGGTCCAGGGGCCTCCGTGGCCACTCACCTGCTGCTCCTCACCTGGGCCCGGCTTACCTGGGCTGGGGCCGCGGGGACGCCGCGGCAGGGGGCCTGGGCGCCGTCTCGGTTTTCGTCTGCCCGGCCCGGGGGCTCAGGGCGCCGCAACCATGGGCTGGGATGCGAAGGGCGCCGCGAGGGACTCAGTCGCCCGGGTCCTGGAGCTTTGAGAGTGTGTGTGTCTGTGTGTGTAGGGGGGTCTCCGAGGCCTCTTGCTGGTGAGGGAGAGCTCTTGCTGTCCTCGGGTTCCTAGCTTTGGGGGTTCTGTGTACCGGAACTGGGGGGCCCAGGACTCTCTGATCTAGGGGCGTTCTGAGCTAGGTCTTCGTGTCCTGAGGTGTGGAGTTGTGTTGACCAGGATCTTGAGAGGGGAAGCCACAATCCCTGACCGGAGGGCCACTGCGTTTTAGATCTTGGGGGCGCCCCGATTGAAGAGCGGGAGTCTTCGCGGTGCCGTAGGTACGTCGCTGTCTTCTGAATACCGAGGAAGTCTTCGCCTTCCCCGGCTGGGGAGTCTGGAGGCCTCCTCCCCCCGCGTTCCTGGGGCTCTCTGGGTTCTGGATGTAGTGGGGGGATCCCCACGCTCCCCGGCGGCGGCAGGGGCTGGCTGAGTCCCGGCCACCCGCAAGGGGCTGGGAGGAAGCCCCTTAGCCGCTGGGGGGCTCCGTCGCCGCCGCTACGAGCAACCCGGCCCTGCGGTCCCGGACCCCGGCCTTGTCCGGGCTCTGGCTGCGGCTCCGGCTCGCGCTCCGCCTGGTGCTTCGGCCCCGGTCCCGGCGCCCGCCCGGGCTGCGCTCCATCGCGGCATCGCGGCTCCGCCCTCCGACCCGCGCGCACCTGCCTGCCTGCCTCGCGGCTCCACCCTCGGGGTCGCGCGCCGCCGCCCGCCCCTTTGTCCGTCCCGCTTGGCGCGCTCCCTTGCGCACGCGCACTAGCCCAGACGCGCGCTCTCCCGCCCGCCGCGAGGTCCCGCCGCGCGCCGCGGGGCGCAGAAACTCCGCGCGCAGAGGCAGCCGCGCGCGGCGCCCCCACCCCACTTTCCTGCCTCGCTGGGTCCTAGCGCCAGTGGGCTTCGTCTCCATCCTCCCGACCCTGTCTTTCTAGGTCAGACCCCAAGAGGGGGCGAGAACGAGGTTAGAGACGACTCGGGGGGAGTCTGAGAGGGTCACCTGGTCCATCCTCCCGGCCCTGCGGGACCAGACTGCCCCAGACTGTCCCAGTCTGTTCTTATGGGGTGGAGCCTGTGTCTGTTTCAAGGAGGGAAACATCCAAGATCTGCAATAGGACAGGCATTCATTTATCCGTCCGTCAGTCATCCACGCATCCATCCATCCTAGCTGCCTACCCAGAGAGGAGGTCATAACTGGAGCCTTCAGGGGCACGGCCGGCTCAAGACGTGTTCTCACTAGTCGTGGAACGCGCAGTGCTCACCAGAGGGAGGGAGGAAAGGGGATTCCAGGAGGAGAGAGCAGCGTGTGCAAAGGCATCAGCAGGTGTGAGGAGCACTGTCTGCTTGGCAACTGGAAATTGGTGGTCTGGGAGGGAGGAAGGTGAATGAGGATGGAGATGAGATAGGGACAGCTCATCCTCTCAGGCCCTATTCCGTCTCTTTCTTAGCCTCATCCATACAGCCCAGGTACATGGGTTCCCTACGGGGAAAGTCCCTAACACGTCCTGCACCTTCCCTATTTCTTCTAACTCTTTGTTCAGGCTATTTTTTGTTTGTTTGTTTCACCCAGCGTATTCTTCCCAACCACCGTGACTGTTTCTAGAAGTTTTAGAGCCAGGGATTGCAAACTCAAGTACCTATAGGTCACATACATTCGAGACTGGGGCCAGGTGTAAGGTGATAGGGACTGGTGGAGATGAAGCAAACTGGAGCATTGTGGGCCCTGCGTGGACTGATGATTTGTTGTTGTTACTCCTTACCTGAGGATATTTTTCCCATTGATTTTTAGAGAGGGTGGAAAGGAGGGAAGCAGAGGAGAGAAAAAGAGAAGGACTGGGGAAATGGAACCTGCAACCCAGGTGCGTGCCCTTGACAGGGAATTGAACCCGCAACCCTTCGGTGCGTGGGCTGACGCTCTAATCACTGAGCCACACAGGCCAGGGCTGGACAGATTATTTTTTTTTTTTTATCCTCATCCGAGGACATTTTTCCATTTTTTGTACAGACAGAGTGGGAGGGAGAGAGAGGAAGAGAGAGAGAGGGAAACATCGATGTGAAAGGGACACATCGAGTGGCTGCCACCCGCACGACCAACCAGGGCCGGGGACAAACTGCAACCGAGGTACATGCCCTTAGCGGGAACCGAACCTGGGTCTCTCCAGACCGCAGGTGGACGCTCTAACCGCTGAGCCAAACCGGCCAGGGCTGGACAGATGATTTTAAAACAGAAGCAGGGAATCCATATTCTAACAAGATATCCTCTATAGGTACATGTTTGAAACAAATTCTCAAAATTCAGATATACTGAATGGGCCAAATGAAACATTCTTTTGGGTCAAATCTGGCTCATGGGCCATCAGTATGAAACCTCTACTAGTGAGAACATTGCCTTAGTTCCTAACTTATCTCCCTCCTGCTTCTACCTAGACTCTTTTTTTCTTTTCTTTCTAGAATCCAGCTCCTATGTGCCCATCAGCTCTATAAAATACAAAGTGGACTGGGTTACTCCTCTACTTAAAATTGCCAATGACTCCCAGTTGCCTCTAGGGTAAAAATCTAACCTCCTTATCCTGGTGTTCAAACCCCTTAGCCTTTGGGGTCCCCTGGTGAGGCCGCCTCTTCTCTGTTCAGCCTTGGCCTCAGCCAGTGTTCCCGGAACATCTGCCCTCTCATACCTCTGTGCCTTATACACGTTGCTTCCTGTCTAGAGCAACTTTCCCCTCTTCTTTGTTCCCCAAGCAAGGTATTCTCCAAGATACCTCCTCTCTCCCTTTCCTCTCTCACCCCTCCCTGTCCTGCCAATGTGCCCAAGTTTCAAATTTCAGCCCAACTTTTTACTAATCCTCTTCAAGTAAGGCCTTATTGCCCAAACAAACTAATGGGGGAGTGAGAGAGATTGGGCCAGCAGCAGAGGGAGGCTAGGGAGGGAGGAAGACGGAAGGGAATGTCTTCTTGTGTCTAACAACTGAGTCCCAGAACATTAGAATTTAGAGAGCAGATTTCCTCAGGCGAGGGAACTGAGGCCTAGGGCAGGGCAGAAGCAGAACTAGGCCCTGAAATGCTCCCATCCATGGCTATCCAGGGTAACATAGGTCATGGCCACCCTCTGCAAAGATCTCGCCAGATTCCTCAACAGGGGATTTGATTACCACCAAAGTGATTAGAAATGTTTGCCAAAATACATGTAGCAATCAAGTCCACCCACCCTGAGCTCTGCAGGTGGGGAATCCTGGTACCCAAAGGGGACACACTCTTACCAGAGGACACAGCAAAGGTCCCATTAACACTGAAGCCATGGCTGCCGCCAGGACACTTTGAGCTCCATGTGTTCTGGGATCAGCAGGCAAGAAAAGTAGCTCAGAGTCACTGTCCTGGCAGTGGTAATTGACCTTCATTCACCAGCAGTTACTAGATCCTCACTGACTGACCCTAAGTTACTGAAGTTACTAGAAGTACCCTGAGCAGTTAGTAGAAGGCGACAGGGATGCTTTTACCAAGTGTGAGCAGGGAGAAGCACTGGAATGTGGAGCCCAGTGATCCGCTGGAGGGATCCACTGATTATGATAGCCAGGAGTTTAGACTCCTCAGGACAGAAGGGTTGGGTCACACTACCAGGTGACCCATCAAGATCTGCCAAAGTGACAGTCGAGGAATAACTGAGAATGGATAATGGAAAGGGGAAATGATGGCGACCAGTTACGGCCTAAGCTCAAGGGCAGCAAGGGGGAGGGGAGCTGTAGTTTGTACCATGAACCTCCCTCTTCAGTTTCCCCCTTAGAAAGAGAGGCTCACGGCATCCACGAAGAATCTGTGCGGCACAGGGGCAGGATGTGGAGGCTGTGAAGATGTAGCACCCCGACCTCTGACGGCAGGGGCGGTGCCTTTGGAGGGCAGCAGCTGTGGAGTCTCTCTAGGGTTCACAGAGGAGGCTCTGCTTTGCTTCCTTCTAGCCAGTGCCAATGCCAATGCCAGCCAGAGACAGCGCAGCAGAGTCTCCTTGGAGACACAGGGCTTTCTCTGATGGGCAACTTGGGATCAGGCACTCCCACTGGCTTCGTTAAAACGTTCTTAACATTGCATGGCAGTCCAAGACTCCTGTCCCACCTGTTCCCAACATTGGAGCTACTGAGCCTGATGGTTTTCCCAGCCTCCTCTGGCTCCTTCCCTCTTCCCCCTCACCCCCAAGCATTTTCCCTAATAAATCCATGGTGTATCTCACCCCACCCTGGCCTGCTTCTCAGAGGACTGAACCAACACAATGTATCTGGAGAGAGGACCTAAAGCAGCTATTTTCAATGCTATGGGCTTTCCCCCTCGACACGCAGGGATAGCCCACTCTTGCCAGCTCCGAGCTTTGTATTCACCGCAGTGCTGCCTTTCCAGAGAGGGTCTTGATGGGTATAACTTAGAGAGCAGAACACAGATAAAACTTAGCTTTGACTTCCATAGCGACACAGAAGAAACATCAGAAAACAGCAATCTTGCCCTGCTGGTGTGGCTCAGTTGGTTGAACATTGACCCATGCACCAAGAAGTCACCGGTTTGATTCCCGGTCAGGGCACGTGCCCCAGTTTCTGACTCAGTCCTCAGTAGGGGGTGTGCAGGAAGCAGCTGATCAATGTTTCTCTCACACATCGATGTCTCTAACTCTCCCTCTCCCTTCCTCTCTCTCTGAAAAATCAATTTAAAATATTTTTTAAAAATTACAAATAGAGAAAACAACAATCTCCACTTAGATCTCCTCTGCCCTGAGCCCACACCCTCATGGATGCTGGCATGTCCTCCGGCTCCTCGCAGTCAGTCGCCAGCCGTGGCTTCCTGCACAGGGAAGCACGTAGGCCAGGAACCCAGGACTTTGATCATCATGCACCTTCCCTTCGGCTGCATTTTATATTTCCTGAGGTATCTACTGCTGGGCGGATGGGGAACCTGACGTCATAACGTTTCACACTGTATGAAATTGGGCAACTCGACCAGCTGTATTAAAAGTGGTTTGGGTCAGCGGTTGGAGTGTCGGCCCGTCGACCAAAAAGTTGTGGGTTCGATTCTGGTCAAGGGCACGTACCAGGGTTATAGTTGGATCCCTGGCCCTGGTCAGAGTCATGTGGGAGGCAACCAATCGATGTGTCTCTCTCATCTCGATGTTTCTCTCTCTCACTCTCACCCTCCCACTGTATCTGAAGATAAATGGAAAAATATCCTCAGGTGAGGATTGAAAAAAAAAAAGCAATAATAATAAAAGTGCTCTGTTAAGACTTTGTTTTGGCCCGGCCAGTGTGGCTCACTGGTTGAGTGTCGACCATACACCAAGAGGTCGCGGGTTCGATTCCCGGTCAGGGCACATGCCCAGGTTGTGGGCCCGATCCTTCCAGTGGGGGGCATGCAGGAGGCAGCCGATCAATGTTCTCTCTCATCAATGTTTCTGTCTCTCTCCCTCTCCCTGCCTTTCTAAAATCAATAAAGAAAAAAATTGAAAACAAACCAAAAAGACATTGTTTTGGCCTCACTGAGCGTTCCCATGCGGGGGCCAGTGTGGGGTTTCTCAATGCGTTCTGTGTTCTCTGATG